GGAACATCCGCGGTGGCTATAGGCTTGAGCGGCGCTTGGCTGCGAGGGCCGCTTGAGGCTCCGCGGGGCTTTAATATTTTATTGTATTTTTATGTGAAATCGGCAACACTTTTGGTTCATTGTTGTTTGCATGCATCACAGTCATGGTCTTTACTCCCTCCTCTGGTTCATCTACAGCTCTACCCTCTGCCCTTCCCATCAAACTCTCTGCACTCAGAGCAGACCCCATGATGCCATGCTGTTTGCCTTCACTCTGTCATCTCTCTGTTGACTGTTGGCATGTGTTTCTGTTTTTGTTTCTCCTTTCAGTTTATTTCATGCACAGCACTAGACTGAGGAGGGTCCTCTGCATCTCCTGCCAGTTCCAGTATGTCTCTCCCTGCACACTCTTGCCTTCGTTTTCAGTCTGCATCTTTTGTCCATTCTGCTCCTTTTCATCCTCCCTCCTAGTTTACTTAACCTTCTACGCTGGTTCTAATTGCTTAGAGCTAAAACCTTCCGGTAGCTAAAGAATTGCAAGGGCGCTTATGCCAATGTCTCTACGCGCATTTTCATTCACATGGAGCTCCATTTAAAGCTATTCCAAACATAAGGGGCAATACTAAGGTGGTACTACAGGCTGATTTTATTATTAAGTTACTGTAATGTTCAGCTCAAGTCCTATTTGGTTTCTAATTTCATTTTATTTTAATTTTTTTTTTTTTTGGGGGGGGGGGTATTTTTGGGTAGTAATATTACAATTTGATCTTGAGTGTGAAGTCATAACCATTGCAAAACTTCACTGAAACTAGTCAAGTTGCAAATGCAACTTTGATGTCATTTATTGGAATTTATTGTAACAGATGAACATAAAGCTGTGAATTTTATTGTGAAATAAAATGAGAAGAATAAGTAATTTAACCTCAGCATGAATGCGCCATCTCAGAAAAACCGTGGTAGCAGCATGATGCTGTGGGGTTCATCTCTTCAGCGGGGACAGTGAAGCTGGTCGAGGCTGGTGACAAGATAGATGAAGCTAAAAAACAGGCAAATAAAAATGGTGAAGTCTAAGATGGAGGTCCACCTTCCAGTGGGCTCATGACCACTAACACATAGTCAGACTCAAAGCTACAATGACTACAAGCTAAAAAATATAAATGAAGAAAGAGGAGTTTCTCCTGACGAACTGTCACGCCGAGTTACCAAGCAGAGATTGGTGATTTTCACTCAAACAGCACTTTATTGATTCTTGCAAGAATGATAACAGCAAGCATGTCCAGTGTCTGTTCAGTCTGGTCTGTTCTGTCTGGACTTTGAGTCACTACCTGCTGATACTTGGGTTATCACAGAGTTTCTCACAAGGAGTCTGGGAACTGACATTTCTGGCTCATCATGAGGACATTAACAACGATCTTTGAAACTGTGAAAATGCAGGAGCTTTCCATTCTTATCTAAACCCTCCCTAACGTTCCATTAGGGTAAAATCACAATGAGCCTCACATGAATGTGGCTACAGCTAGAAGAGGCAAAGTAAATACCTTTTTGTGTTTTACAATCAAAGGAGAAGAAGACTGTTTTTTATAAAATTCCACTAGACAAACAGTTTAGGCTATTTTGCAAAAAAGAAAGGACAAAATATATAAAATAACCTGAAACTAAATACTAACGCACACCAGTTTTCAGGTTGAATTATTAAACATTTTATAAAGCACATGCCATTTTCTTATACTCCACAATTATGTCCTGCCTGTGTATACTTCAGATCCAATGAAATACATAAACGTTTGTGGATTTAGCAAACTTCAAGGACTGAATAAATTTGCATGCTCTGCCAAACTCAAGTTCAACAACTTGCAGCACAAAATGTTCACAAATCTGAAGATATCAAAAGTACATGAGCTAATTCTATTTAAAGGCCTTATGCGGTGATGTTTAAAAATACTTTCTGTAGATGCCTGATATTTCCTCGGCAACTGTCTCTGCAGGATTTTCTGATCATGTTCCTGCATCATGTGGCGGCGATCTCTCTCATCGTATTTTCTTATGTGAACAACATGGCACGAGTGGGAACTCTGGTCATGTGTCTACACGATGCAGCCGACGTGCTGATAGAGGTGAGACCCCGCCAGAAGATTAAGCCTTGTATGTAGATGGATGAGCATCTGAGAAATGAGCTTATGTCGGCAGCAGGGTGTTCAGAGATATGTTCATGCGCCTGTGTTCATTACAATGGACTGCAATCCATGTGTAAATCCTGACCCTGCTTTGTGGCTCGCAGTTAAAAGGCAAAACGTACAACACTAAGCGTGTCCCTTCATCTTTCAGACAAGGTGGATCCCCTTTTATGTCATTTATATGATCTATCTTGGCTCTTCCGGGTTAATATGTACTGGTTGCATTGCTCAAGGAAGCAATCGGATGATTGCAGATGCATTGTTTGTATCTGGAACAGTTTCTTAAAAATGCATGTGAGTGAAGCATTATGTTATACACACTTGACTATTTATGTTAATTGGAGTCGTTTCTCCCTGCAAAGATCAGTTTCTTACAACTGTTAGAAATGTGAAAGACAGGAGGACATGCCTTTCAAGTAAGGCAAGTGTGCGCTGATTATCCCACAACAGGACATAGCCACAAAAACAAATGTATAAACTTGACCATATTCACAGTCAGAGAAAAACAGTTCAAACAATGTGGATGAAGCTGTATCCATGTTCCACATTCAGCTTCAGCTTTACCTGTTTAGCTAACTTCAATATTTATTCATTTTTTCTAGCCGTTTTGTTTTATGTATCTAGACTGAATGAGATTTATTTAAAGAACCTCCTATCCTGTTGCATTGTCGGTAATATTTGTTCACTGGTTTTCGTTTTTATTCTATTCCAGGCTGCCAAGATGGCCAACTATGCCAAATGTCAGATACTGTGCAACCTCCTGTTTGCAATGTTTGCAATTATCTTCATAACTTCCAGGCTGGGAGTTTACCCCATCTGGTAAGAATTATTTACTTTCTCTGTGATCCAAAGCTGGCATCTCCGTTGATGAGAGACTTAAGTGCAGTGGTGTTAGGTGCCTGCGTTTGCACACAGTTCAGTAGTCTTACAGGCAGCCAGAGCTTCAAATCCCGACCAGCCTGAACTCCTTACCATCTTTTAGTAGCTCATGTTCGAAAATGCATGTCAGAGCCATTTTTTTTAACCCCCTTTCTCCACAATGGTTTGCGATTTGGACAGATCTGTGTGAATGTTGTTGCTAAGTAATAGTTACTATGGATACTACAGCTTTAACCTTTCAAAGAAAAGACAAACCAGCTTATGAAAAGCAAATCATTGTGGTTCTACTCGACCACTGGAGACAGAGCCAATGAATTCATGTAATTATTGAAACATCAAATGAGTGTTTATTTATGAAAACTTAGTTCTATTTCTGGGGGGTTTCTTTTATATAGTCTAACGTGTGGCTAATCCAACTTCATTTTTTATTTTGGAGAAAAAAAAGCCGGTTTAAGTTTTCTTTTTTTTTTTTTTATTTCCACCCAAACAATTATGTAATTACATTCCCTTGAAAATGCTGGTTAAAACTGGCCAGTCTGTCGGATATTAGAAGATCATAAATCTAATTTCAGCCCTTGAATACACAACAGTCATCTTTCAGTCAGCAGCAGCAGCTGTTGATCAGGACTTCATTAAATGAATGTAGGCATGATTTACATTCTGGGTCAGGCAACTACATTTTCTCCACTTTTACTTCTGATAGCAGCTCTTAATCATTCTCCAAATACTATTTATGCTATTTGATGCATGTTTAAAATTCAATCTAAAGACAGCATTTGAATAACTTTATATAAGGCTTTATATAAATATAAAGCCTTTGTGGCATTTAAACCAGCTTTAACCCTTAGGGGTCTGGGGTCTAAAAGTATTCAAACCAATCTGCATGACTTAGTTGCATGTTTTTGATTTCAAACTGTAATGCAATGATTCTGCACTATATTTTAGTCAGTTCCTCCATTGCACCATTTTTAAAGTTGTTGCCATGACTTCAGTATCTGGAGGATGGCTCACAGGCTGCTGTTTGCAAGGAACAAACCAGGGACGAATTGAACTCAGATCTTCAACATAACATTTAGTTGCTGTAAATAGAGACTGCAGATGATGTCTTTGTATTCATTAGCTATTTTGTGTTGCTTGTAAATCTCATTATATTAAAATGTTATTAAAATATATAGATCTAAATTAATAATTCCTTTCCAAATCAGAAATGTACATGTTTGATATATGCATTTCAAATATTTATCTTATTTTTATGATTATGTCTTACAGCTAATGAGACCCCCAAATTCTTTTCTTTTTTTTTTTCTTTTTTTTTTTTTAGAAAATTACAAAAATATTTTTTTATACCGACACGTTATGGTGGAAATGTAGTGTACACACAATCTTGAAAAAACCTGCTGCCTTGACAGCTGCCCTACTTGACAGTCACTAAAACACTCCAGAAAAAGGTTAGACCACAAGAGATTATTCCAAATGAAACTGTCTGATCAGAGATCTATATTCAGCCATATTTTCTGGAAAGTTGACTGGAAGGAAAAAGTATGACCAAGCAAAAGAGATAAAGCATCAAAAAATAAATAAATTGTGACGCCAAGTACATGCAATAGTTTGGGGGAGATTCTGACATCATATTTAAAAGTCACCCCATATAGACTCTCCTGAACTCGAGACAATGTCAAAGGCAGGTTTTATGTGGTAACAAAAAGACTAAAGAGTTGCTCAGTCCTATTTTCAACTTAAGGAATTTGCATTTGAATTAGAAATGAAATTCGAATTCAGAGATTAGAAAGAAGAGTAGAAATTAAGAGAATCCAAGTTAATGACAGGATTATTGTCTAAATTCTTTGTATCCAACATCTTGTGTTTTTCTTACATAAGAAAAAGAATTGACCTTTTTAAATTTTCCTTTCAAAACGTAAAACCTTAACATGTCATTCTCTCCCTGCTGCTGCTGAAGGATTTTAAACACCACTTTGTTTGAGAGTTGGGAGATTGTAGGCCCCTACCCATCCTGGTGGGTCTTCAACCTCCTTCTGGTCTTACTGCAGCTTCTTCACTCATTCTGGTCCTACCTCATAGTGAAGACAGCATGCAGAGCCATCTCCAAAGGAAAGGTGAGTCGCCACACTCTTCTCCTCGGCATCATTCCTAAATGTACATTTATGCACATTTGGAAATACATTCTTCACCCAATATGCTTCTTGTTGTATTGTGCAGTAAAAAGCTTTTCCATTAATGTTAGTATTCTTGTGCTGTGTTGTTCCTGTGTTTTTCACAGAATCACTTTCTTTTTAAGAAAAAAACTACCAAAAATGTCACCCCAACAATTACATTATTACATTTATAATGTTTAGCATCTGAATTTGATGTTTTATTGTATCTAATAAATAAATATCAAATAACATATCTGTTCTATGTTCATGCTACTTTGCAATCTTCAAGGTGGGGAAGTGGAATCCTTTACATGTAAGTGGTTCGACACAACTAAATGCATAACTACCACGGTTCAGTATATTCATTATGCCGTACTTATTATCTATTTCCTTGTACTGTTCTAGTTATTTAACCATCAGATTCTTTTGACTAGTCATACGCCATTGCTCCACGTTTTTAAATTGCTGTGTATGGAATTTGTTTGAAAGTACTCTGAATATAATTATTTCATATTGTCAGTTCAAGCATTAGCAATGCTAAAATCTACATACACATCCTAATAACACTTACAATAGCATGCTAACACTTATTTTTGCATGCTGACACCCCATTTGTAGTATTCACACATATGATAGCAATGGTAAATCTTATATTAGCCCACAAAAGCTCAAATTATTGTGCTAGCAATGACATTAGCATGCTAACACTTAATTTAGAAATGCTAGCACGTACTAACTAAGGCTAATGGTTACGAAAGGTTTTCCTAACAGTAATAACAAAAAACATGCAACAAAGGTATTAAAGAGTAAAAGTGAGTTTTAAACCAGATCCCACTTATAAATTACCAGCAAACATGCTACAACAGTAAATTGCTGTTCCGTGCTACGTCTGATAAACAAGTAAACGCCTCTGTCTGTTTCTTTCAGATCAAATGAACTGCCACAGTTAAAATGTTGTGATTTCGGTTGTGATTTTGAGTTCAACAGTGTTTTCAGACTTAGGTTTTTAAGTGCAAAATGCCTGTGTTTATTGATACATAATCAGTGTGTTATTATGAGCGCAGTGAAACACAAGCAGGGCTCAGGTCGTCAAGTTCTTATTCCAATAAACACAATAGAGTTCAACCAGCACCTGTTTTAATCTGTCAAAAAAAAAAAAAAAATTAACAGTCACATAATATGTCAACCACATTTAAAGGATCAAATAAAAAAAGTGCAGATAAATTAAATCTCTAAATGATCATTTCGTTTCTGCAGGTTTCTAAAGATGACCGCAGTGACATCGAGTCCAGCTCTGATGAGGACGACAGCCCTCCTCCCAGTCAGAAGCACCACAGCAGCGCCACCAATGGGACCAACAAAAACGGGACCAACGGCTACCTGACAGGCGTCCCGTACCTAGACGAACACTGACCGAGCTGATATCACGCGAATGGAGCCATGCTGCAGACACTACCCCACTTATCTGTGTGTCAGCATATGTATGCGTGTGTGTGTGTGAGAGAGAGAGTGACTTTAGGCATATGGTGGAGACATGAGCATCTCATCTTTGTAAGTTATTGATAGATTTATGTGAATGCTGTTTTGTCATTGGTTCTTTACTAATTTTGTTGTGCAATTTATTTCTCTTCAGCTATATATTTGCATCAAACTACACTCACTGGCAAATTTAGGGAATCGGTACAACACACTCATTTAGCCAACGAATGACAGCGTTTCACTTGATGGTCGAAGCATGCTGCGTTGATTTACAGCAGTTCGACACACTGCACTGCACGGGGTGTTTTCCCCCCTAAGTTTGTCCTTTTTTTTGTTATTTGATTTGGATGAACATGTTTACAAGTTTTTAGTCAGACATATTTTCTTCTTCTCCTTATGATGTTAGTGTTGACATAATCTTAAAACGGAAACAGCTGTGTTTTTCACCTAAACATCAGAGTATTAGCCGGATTCAGTTTTCTTGCTACACCCCCAAAGACTTGCCAAAACCGTGAGTTGTTTTCTTTGTTTTTTTTTATCACTTACAAATGAATGATAATGTGAAGTTTATGCACATTTGGAAATACATTCTTCACCCAATATGTATATGAGATGTCAATAACAGTAGTATCTGTGTGTGCATCAGGTATGGCTAGATGCTGTATTCTTTATCCAATCATTTTGTTAGATATTCTCGTACATTTCTGGTTATCATTAAATTAAAGGCAATTTGTCCTCTCATGAGGTATATATGAGTTGTTTGAATAATTCAATAATAAAAAAAAAAAATTGCAATTATATAAAATGTGTCTTGGTGTGTATATGCAAGAGGAAGCAATATATTAATAGTATTTTTATTAAAGAAATTAAAAAACTTTTTTTTTTAATTTTTTACAAGCACTAACTGTAATGTAATTACTGTTGAAAACTTTGTCCTCTAAATCTCCAAGGGCTAAATGGCTTTTTTCTAGTAATGATCTTGTCAATAACAAAAATATACAATAATTATGATAAAGTTTTTCCTTTTATCTATTTCAAATAACCCACAATTTTAAACAAGCCAAGTCTTCAAATATCATACCAAAGAAAAAAAACATCATAAAACATCAATAAACTTAGTTAATGTTCTACAAAAGAAGAATGATGTTGATCATTTTGTTCCCTCCCACTGTATCTATAGTAAACTAACTAGCCATCTAGCTTTAGTTTACCATTATAGGTCCTTTGGCCCTCCTCCTGGAATTGTCCTGTTTATTGTGCGCCAGCAAGAGCTCAGGGCATTTCCGCATGAGTGGCTCTGTGAGGAGAATGGTCAAAGTTCCAGGTTCAAAGTTAATGAACTGCCGAGGCCTTAAGATGAAGGACCCCATCGACTCGTGCTCTGTAAGTATCTCTAGCTTAAAAATAAGGGTAATGTTTGGTTTTAAGATTCACTGAGGCAAAGTATTGGAAATGCAACCTAGTGTTAGACAGATCGCACAGTTGTTTCTCCCCTGGACTTAAACTCATAGAACATGTCTTCTTTCAGTATAACCACCTGTATCAAAATCTGAAGCAGTATTCAAAAAATGGAGACAACTATTTGAAAGAACTTCAAACAGTTTTTCAGCAGAGGTAGGCTTAATGTTTTTTGTTTTTTGTTTTTTTTGCAGTTAAACCACATTTAAATAGGTACTGCACTTATGTTTGACAAGTATTGTCCTTTGCTGCAACGTTTCCCGCTTTTAGAGCTGAGCTGGAACTTACGTACTCCAAGGGCCTTGCAAAGCTGGCAGGGAAACTAATCAAAGCATGCCAAGGAATGCCAAAAAAGTAAGAGACATCGTGTTGTTGTCGGTTTTCAGTTAGCTCTGCCTTTTTTCTCTGCTTGATGTCAAACACGTCCACTCACTCCCAGGAGACAGGCTACAACGTGGTGTACAGTAATAATAGGATCATGAGAAATAGCATGCACCCTGCATGTAGATGTGATCAAAACATGAGCAGGTGTCAGGTTAATTAGCCCACGGCACTAACCTTTTCATGCTGGCTCCCCCCTCAGTTCCACCTACACCGCCTGGTGTCAAGTGTCAAACGAGATGTACTCGAGAGCAGACGCACACAGGTAGATCTGACCCTGGTTTAACCTTGTGACATGAGCTGACCTTACACTACGACCCATTCTGAATAGATATTGCTGGTATATGCTGTCTGATGTTTTATTTTCAGAACATTAGGAAATGCATTTCAACAAGAGGCCACTGAGGAAATCCGTCAAGTCTTAGATGAACACGCCAAAAGAAAAAGGCCTGTGTGTAGTCTATTGTTTCTCTCTGTGCTAAAATGTTTAATCCTTACTTCCAGTTAATTCTAATATTTATCAGAGCCTCCTTGTGTTTTGGTAGCTTGACACTGCCATTGAAAGGAGTGGAAAACTTTTTACAGCAAACTGGAATGAGCAACTCAAGGTAGGAATAATTTTTCTTATTGAAAACAAGGATCAATGAAGAGGTAAATGTCCTTGCAGAGATAAAAAAAAAGTCTGTGCTGTAAATGCAGATAATTAAAGTCATAAAACCACACCTTATGCGTTACTTTTTAGAAATTTTTAGAGACAATGGCAGTGAAGAAAGTTTCAATGACTGCCAATAGATTCATGAGAAGAACTAAGCACACCCCATTATACACTATCTCACAACTAAGGTCAGCATCAATTACTTGATGGCTTCATTTTCTATACAAACTCATTTTTAAAATTTTAGGACAATTAGTCCAATCTTTAGCCTGGTTGAGGGATGAAGTTTGACTGGGCTGTTGCAACACCTTCTTTCCTTGTACTGTCATTATGCTTTAGATGATAGTGTGTTTGGGATGATTGTCTGTTTCATGAACCAATTTGGCCCAAGCTTCATCTGTCAGACAGATAGTGACACATTCAGCTTTAGAAAAGACTCATTGCCTGCAATGTTTGACCAGGCCTTGTATGGCTGCAAAACAAAATCAAATCATCACATCTCCACCATCTTGTTACCAGTTATGTTGTGAGATACTTGTTTTAGTTTGTGTTTGTTTTTATTACCAAACAGGGCACTAGATATTAGCTCGGCATAGCTCTACTTTGATTTCAACGTCCAATAGACAGTTTTTCCAGAAGATTCTTTCTCCCTGTCGTCCTTCCAAAAAGTTTTTTCTACATTGTTCAGTCAGATTTAACTTGTAAAGTAATGCTTGGTAATGTTGGGTAAAATTGCCAAGATGCCCTCTTTCAAGAAGGATGGACTTCAGAAATCTAAAAATGGCCCATTTGCCCTTTCAAGATTAACAGGCAGCAACAATTGCTTCTTCAAAGTCATTGCTGATGTCGCAACTTATTCTACTTACTATAGTGTTAACACACATCTGTGTCCCACAGACCAGCAAACTATTCAAAACCAATGATTTTGTAGAGTTGATCAAATCTGCTGATGACAAATAAATAGAATGCATCTGACCAACAGCACCTAACTGCAAGAATATACATAGAAATTAAAGGTAATGTTTTGGAGTGTCCTTCACAAGCCTTGATACCTCATACAATTGTTGGCAAAGTTGAAAGGGTGTGTGCGAGAGCAACACAACTAACAAACCTAACTGTGAATCATCAGTTTTTCCGGGGGAAATGGGGCCAAAGTTCCAGCAAATTCTCAATGTAGTTAGAAGTTTGTGGAAGAAATCCTAAATGTTTGGCGGAAGTCATGTAGCTTAAGAAGAATTTCAAATACTGAAGTAGTGTGTGTAAACTTTTTAAACTTGCGAAAAGTCATTTAAAGTTGAAATTGTAAAGTACTTGAGTGATTTTGTGAGCTTCAATTAAAGACAACAATCTTTAGTTATGCATCATGTCCTGTTTCAATGGAAAGTAACCTTGGAAAAGAATAACAGCACAGTTCAAAGATTAATCCCTCCTTTATTTACCTATGACTTGTCTCAGGTGTGGTCATTTGTACAATCTTTATAACCTCAGTCCTCATGCTGACAGTCCCATGTTACCTTTCAAGAAAAAACGGTGGATTCATCACAGATGTCAGCAATAAAAAGACACAAAAAAAACACCTCTTCACATTAGAAACTGAAGGAATGCAACATGAGCTGCTATAACCAGAACCCCTACAATTATTCATACAAAACTCTTTACAAATGTAAGACGACATAACATTTGTCTAGATACAATAATTAAATTAAAGTTTTATTTGATCTAAGAAGTGCTTATTATACTCAAATAGATATTTTGCTCCCCCTGTTGGACCTTTTTATGCCATTCTCTCTTTGGAGCAGCTTACAGATGCTTTAAAAAAAGTACTCAACTTATGTCAATCACGTTTCTTCAGTGATTCAACAACAGATCCTCAATGCTCTGCTCGCAATAAGTTGAACTGATAAAGTTGTGTTTCTCCTGGTTTCCTCTGCACTAAAACAGCTGAAAAAAAGATTGCATGGGCTGACAAAAGAACACGAGGCACTCTTCAACTATCTAGAAAACAACAAGCACATCAGCACAGAGAAAGAAAAACAGAAGGTACAGAATACTGTTCGCTAACTGCTTTTATCTCACCTAGGATCTAGAAAAATATCATTTTTGGAAAATATATATCTGTTGAAGATTGAAATTGCATGTTTTTTTTTTCTCAGCAGATGTGTAACAGACTGACTAAGTCAGCAGAGCAGCAGTCCATAGTGGATGAACATTACTATAGTGTCAACATGGAGGGTCATCAGATGAGACTGAAGTTGCAAAACACTCTGAAAAACTGCTGTCAGGTGGGAAAACACCTTACTAAATGTTATAATTTATCTAGGTCCTAATTTATGTAGAATAACTTGAATTAGTGAGAAAAAAAGACATTTTTCTCACTGATTTATTGGCATTTGATAATCAAATGCCAATAAAATCTCAAATGTTTGAACATTGAATTCAAACAGTAAACTCATTGTATGTAGTCTGCTAGTTGACCTGTATGCTGCAGGGATTAACAATACAGGAGAAAATCAAATCAAAGTCTTAATGCTGTCTTGCAAAAGTGTGTTCTGCAGTCCTGTCACAGCTTTGGGCAATGGGTGGTTTTATCCAAGAGTGATGCTAATAATGAGCCTGTTAATAAATGTATGATTTCTTTCTGCTTTGCTTAGGTCATACAAGAGCTGGAGAAAAATCGAATTGAAGTTCTGTGCAACCTTTTGAGCAAATATAACCTCCACATGTCTACCTTCAGTCAAACACTTAAGCATGTAAGAAACTCTTCAATGCATCCTGATCACAAATACAAATAGAATCTCTGAAAGAAAAAGCATTAACCTGCAGCTACTACTGCTCATTCCAGGGTCAAAAGCAGATAGAGCAGACTGCCCAAAGGGTGGACGTGGATAAAGACATACAAACCCTGATGGAAGAAAGTGGCAACACAAATGAAGACAACATAATAGAGTTTTTGATGGCTGATTATTTTGTAAGTATTTTGTTTTGTTGTGTCTTCATTGCTCGTTTGAATGAAAAATACCTTAGTAGATAGGAAATAATAATTTCCATCTGATTTTCATAATTTCCCCAAAAAATACAGCCAGTACAGTCAAAGTGACAATGCTCTACACACTTTGAACGTTTTATTTTCAACTGGGCATCGAGCTCCATCCATTTTACGAACTAGTCTGGATGGAAAGACCCTGCTCTGGGTGCTGTTAAAAAGTATTTCTAGCAGGATGTAGCATCGTCCCAGCCCCCTGGCTCCTTTACTGTTCATCAGTAAACGGGTGAGGTTTTACTTATGAACAGTGATGTTTATTGGAA